TTTTTTTTTTTTGTTCTTCCTTCCCCGAATGAATGACTATGAATGTGGCTCAGGCTTTCGAGAATGCCTGCTTGGAGAGTGGTTTTGGTGAAAATCAAGATTAACTTGGTTAGAGTTTAATTGCAACTAAACTGTTCTTCTTTTCCCTTCATTTGTACTGATGTAGTGAATATGAAGTTCAAAAATATTATGTTTAGACACTGATGCTTTTTTAACTGATGTTGCATATAATGTTGTTCTTATCTTGGCCAGCCTATTTTTTTCCTCACTTGATGCACTTTCTACCCGAATTAAAACAAATCTCCGCAATAGTTCATAAAAAAATCGATTATTTGATCATTCACTTCATAAAATAAACACTTTCGTGCAGAAATTGCCTGCCATAAATAGAATAACCTACATGAGTTGTACGTTGCACGTGATGGAATAAACTTGTGCATCTGAATAACTGTGTATTAGGTATTGCAAAATCTTGAACAACATTATCCTATAGTTCATATAGTTAGAAATTTGTATTATCTAATACTATGTACGTCTTGAGCATCAACCTCCTACACTAAATTATTTTATTAAATTGTCCAGCTTGATTTCTTTATATTTCAAAATTAAGCACATTTATAAAAATGCTACTTTAATAAGTTGTAAAAATTATTATACAGTAATGAAAGTTATATTCATACTAGCTAAAGTCATTGGACAATCTTATCGTGTTGTCTTAAATGGTTAGAGTTCAACTGCCACCAACTGCTAGAGATATGTTTGCAGATTATATCAATTCAATTTTGATCTGGCCATCATGTTTCGGTCAACGTACATATGCTTGCAGTTTATTTATTTATGCAATCATACTCCTTGTCTTACATTGAGATAGTATGGTTCGAGGTGTCTCAAAAATAAAAATCATCTATCGGTTCCTTGTAAGACTAAACTATTCGTTCACAGTCTAGACATGCAGTGAGACCCCTCTTGAAAAAGAACTGTAGTGTATTCTTGATTGAGTTTGTCTTTGACTGGAAAAAAATAGCATTTTGGTAAATAATTATATGATGTGTTGTTATAAATTATTTGTGGTCACTATGTCCCAGTGCGCTAGGTTGATGACGTCCCCGAAATGAGCTCAGGAAGGAATATTATATCAAGTCCTGCAGGTGGATGTGTATCCGACATAATGATTAATGTTTTGAGTGGTACTAGTTTCAGAAATGAATAAGAAGTTGATTAATTATTTTATCAGTAATTTAATTAATCAACGGACGTTATATCTTAAACATAGGGAGATAAATCGATCAATTAGATTAATCTTTATTAATCAAGTAGAGGTTCAAATTTATTGAATAAATTGGAGCTAAATGGGGAGAGCAATAATATTACTTTAGTGGAATGTTTTATTATTTAATTCTATTTAGGTATTAGAAATTAATTATATTTCATAATTAAAATTTCATTAGGAGAGGAATATTCTTTCTAGAATATTAACTAGGTTTAGGAGACTATGGAGTCTTCTAGAATATAGTAAATGTTAGGAGGAATATGACTTCTAGATGAGAAAGGATATGAAGCATAATTAGGATTCCTAAGCCTAATGGGATAAACCCATATTTAGCACCTCCTTAAAGTCCCTAATGTAGCCTATAAATCTACCATGTCAACCTCTCCCCTTAATGCATGTTAGCCGTTTTTAAGGTCCCCATAAGGAAGAGGAACATCGTGTTCTTCATATATTTGAGAGGTAGGGAGTTTCGATTAATCGTCTACCAAGATTATTCGAAGTAGGTGTAAACGATATACATTACAAGACTTATGGTACAATTTATTCGAGCCTATATATTTATATATATTTTTCAGCGACCCCATGATTTTTCGGCGACTGACCGGAGCTCAGACGGCGATCGGCAAGACGCCGACATTTTCCAATCACATCTTGTTCGCGCCCACGCCCTGCGGTTCTTCCCTGTGCTCAGCCCGTTCCCAAGTGTCCTGTCTGCGCCCATACATTCGCACAAGCCCAGGTCCAACCGTGCATCCCAATCAATGGTGAAGTCCAGCGAAGCAAGCAGCCTAAGTGAATTACATGCAGCCCGTTTGTGCAAGGCCCAATCTATCGCGAGCCTAGCTGGAGGAAAACAAAAAATGCGCGGGCTGCTTCAGCCTGCGTGGCCCGATCCCACTCACTTCTGAAGCCCGCTCGCGGCCCACGTGTTGGCCCGCAACCCAGCCCACAGCACTCACAGCCCTTGGCCCACACGGCCCGTGAGCAGCCCTTCTATAACCCGTGCCCAAAGCAACAACCGAGCATCCTTTCGCGCGGCCCAACTGCTGGATGTCTTCGGCCCAACACCGTGTATGTGCGGCCCTGCCAATGAGGTTCCAGCCCAGATGCTCTCCAGCCGGTCCAGATGCACCCTACCCGGTCCAAGAAGCTCCAGAACGGTCCAACAACGTGCCAGTGTGTTCCAGACTGGCCAAGCCGCATCCAGCTCATACCAGATCGGTTCAACTTGGTCCATAAGCCCCGGTTCGAGTCCAAGATAGTTCCCGAGCAGTTCGACTAACTTACCGAAGGTCCGAGATGAACAGACGAGCCCGACGAGCAACCGGAGCATCCCGACGACTCGATTAGGATCGTGAAAGGCCAAGTTCGGCTGCCCATCAGACTTTGGTGTTCAGATGATCTTCATCAATGGAAAGCAGAAACGTGTCAGAGTCGGCAAATATTCTAAACCGTAAGTCCCAATCCTAACTATAGATTCCGCTGTATTAGGATTTATTATTCAATAGAATTGAATGTGCACATTGTCTACGTTCCTAATAGAGCCCAACAACTGGTATCAGAGCCCAGGCAAATTCGTCTTTGTGCACTATTCGAATTAGGACTTGCATGATATATGTGAATTAATTGTGTATAGGCGCAACGCATAATAGATTAGAATTACAAATAAGTGTTGTTTGCAGGTATTCTTGAATTCGACTTTTATGGCCCGCATGTATGTTTGTTTTGAATTCATGTATGTCATTTTATAAGCCTCGAACATTTCGAGGATTTTTGGGTAGGTGAATGTTTGTAATAATTTATTTGCGCGGTGAGACACCGCATAGTTTAAATTCTTTACTAGATCATTCATATATGATCCCTGCGTGGCCCATATGGTCGATGTATGTAATTATATTACAAAATTGTTCATTGGACCCGGTAAACGTGGACATCTATCGATGAAACGAGGCGGGCTACCCCGCAAACCCGCAGTTGACGTGACATGTGGTACCGTGCAAATGCAGACATCCTCGTAGGCATCTTGCTGTCAGATGTAAGCATTGTTAAGGTATTTACAGAAGGATACGCACGGACCCAGGTCGACAGAAGTGCGGGCGACGGCGGCAATAGGCACACGCCAACAGAGGAGACCCGATGGCGACTTCCCCGACGACCTGTATAAGATGAAAAGTGGGAGTCACGGCGAAAAAAAGAAATTGCAAGTCCTGAATCGGAAGACTCAGTTCAAGAGGACTGGTTGCGTTTCTACGAAAAATTTGAGATTGATTAAATGGCCATGGTAGTTGGATCTTAGTTTTTTGTTTATTATTGCCTATTAATCATGCACGTACTTATGTGATTTATTTGCTTTATGTGCAATGAGAATTATT